CTGAAATTCCATGCCTGTCGGAGTTCCAAGCCCGAGGACCAAGCGTCGACTGCATTCCCTTGTCTGTTGCAGGAATGGTAACTTCTGAATCCGCGGGCGCCCCCGCCATGTCGGCATCTCCTTCGGCGGGCGTGTAGAAGTTCTCGGCGAACTCAATATCTGCAGGTTGCCCCGCGATGAGCATGCCCAGCCGCCCTGCCAAATCGATGTCGCTGTGGCCAGTGAACACCTCCTCGAACCTCGAACAGCTCGCCAGCGTGACTCTCGAGGGCCATGCTGGCGCTGAGATATCCGGCAGCCATGAAATTGACAACCGTGGCTGAGCTCTCGGCAGGGTCAGCTAAAAAAGACCCCCAGTCAACAAACTGCAAATCGGAATCTGTTTGAGCCAGATGCATTGACGGACCCCTGCCTCTTCCATCACCTGGAGGGCGGTCGCGTCGGAAATGCTGCGAGCTGTGGCATATGTCGCGCTCCATAGTTTTACCGTTGGCATCCTTTGGGTTTCCCCGTCGTCCTGCGCCTTTTCCTGATGCACGCCTGCGCTTTCTGCCAATGCCTAAGAACATATCTTCGTGCTGTGGTCCAGTAAGAGATGCCAAGAAAACTAGTATGCCTCTGCCATGCAATCGCCGACACATACCTTTACCTTTACTTCGCCCTTTGCCCTTTCCCTTGCGTGATCGTCGTGCGATACGCCTTGCCTTTCGGACTGGTTTCTTCCTCCGCCAGCGACGCCTGTGTCTCTAAAAATAACAATTTTGCTCGTTGCTCTGCAGTAAAATATGTAGGCATATCCAAATAATCAAGGGCTGTAGCTTCGTCGTCTGAAGACGCATCGGCATCGGCGCCAGAGTCGCAGTCGGACTCGGCAGGTTGTCCCGCTGAGCCCATTAGGGCCATGGCTTGCAAGGGGGAAGCCGCATCAGGCGGCCCCCGAAGCATGGCCCAAGAGTCTTGCGACCCCGAGGCCCGAGGCTGTTCCACCATTCTGAGCCAGCAGTGTAATGGTCTCAGTTGGTTGTGGATCATCATTCCAGACGTTGTTGGCAGGTTGCCCTGCGTTAGCCTCCGCGCGGAAGGTCTCGGTTCGGTGGCCGCGACTAAAGATGACACCAATATTGCCGGGGGTTCTCTCAGCAATGTGAGCATATGACCTCATGCGTTCAAGTGGAGCGCCAAATTGTTCTTCATCTCTCGGCATATGGTGGTTTAGAGGCTGCAGGAGTTGTTGCGCACGCGATGGCCCCGCTCCAAGAGCTCTGAATCGAATCGCCGTTAGGATTTGGAAATTGGGGATGTTGAAGCCGGCTGTTTCATCTTCATGGCGGGCTATCTCAAAACGTGCTAACGTCTGGTCGATGCGTTCCCCCGCATGGACTCAGAAGTCGATGAGAGCAGTGCCAGAGTTGAGTTGGCGCTCCTCTTTTAAATTCTCAAACTTCGTGCTTAGGAGGAACGCGATATAGGTGACGCCGTCAGTATGGCGGCCACCTATGTTGACGCCAAAATTGGTAACTGCTGGAAGGACTCTCATGGCGATGGTCCCATGCGAAACCTCCCAAACCTCGCTGCAGAGCTGCAGCCTGTTGGGAGGGCGTCATATTGCCTGTGGTCACGTTGATCCAGGCATGTACTTCGCGGGCGGATTCGCGAAAGGGTACTTGCCCGGCTGGGCCCCAGTGGGGGCCGGTCGTTCGTGTGTCGTCTCCGCGCCCAAAAATAATAACACCAATCCAATGGCCTCGTAGGTCGTAGTCGGATGTGTCGGTTGGGACTTCCTTTGGGTAATCGTAAGTCTGCGCGGGGGTGGAGGCGGCAGTATATCAGATCGCATGTTTCCATGCAGTATATCTTCGAAGAAAATTTCCAATTGGAGTAGGTGGGTGGACTTCAGGAGTGTAGAAGCGCAGGGATGCAGGGTGGAAGTAAGAGACCTCCGCTTGAGCAGTGGTATCGCTGCAAGTGTCTTTGCGGTGTTGCGTAGCTATGCGCATTCCTCCGCGCAAACCCACTGCACCCTGATGTTCCACCACATCCGTAGTCCACCAGATAGTGCCGTGGATGGTGAGGAGTAGAGCGAGAACTGACCACCATAGGCCAGCTCCGCTACCAAGTTTGAAGGGGGCTGGGAGCCCAGCCAGCAGCTTCGCCTTGGGCGAAGCTAAGCTCCAGCTCTGTTGTACCGTAGTAACGATAGTCCCAGTAGGAGAGGGTGTACCATCTTAAGCAATAGGAGTATCCTTTTGGTCTCGATAGCGATTGTGTGCCTCGCGGGGAGGCACAATCATATTTTTGCGGCCGGCCGCTTGAGCCGACGCGGCCGCGGGCGCACGCTGGCTTCCACTCCTTACGTCCCTCAGCTCGCTTTAGTCGGGGCCCCAAACTCGGATGCTGCCTATGTGTTGGGACGGCGGGTGGGAGTGAGCGACACGGCTTGTGGCTTGGGGAAGCTTGACCCCTCCCCCTCCCCCCGCAACCTGGGTCTGGATGGGACGCCCTGCGACCGATTAAAGCGTCCAAGAAGGCACCGGGCAAAAGGCAAGTCACTGGGTTTCCTTAGGAGTTGGGCCCATTTTGACCCCCCTCTCTTTCTTTGATCGATGCCCCCCAAGATGGCCCCCAACGCCAAAAGTGCCCCAAGAGAGCCCCAAGAGGTGCCTGGGAGGCCCCAAGAGGCCCCCAAGAGGTCCCAAGCGGCTTCCAAGAGATCCCCAAGAGACCCCAGGAGGCTCCCACGAGGCACCCAAGACGCTCCAAGGGGACCCTGGGACCGCCAAGAGGCCCCCAAGACGCTCCAAGAGGACTCCAAGAAGCTTCCAGGAGACATCCGAAGCGACTCCGAACGGCATCCCAAAGTCCGCTGGCGTTTCTGCTCGCCCTCCTTCTTCTCCTCATCTTCCTTGTCCACCTGTTCATCCTCCTCCCTCTTCCCTCCTCCCCCTCCTTCCAAATCCCCCTCCTCCTCCTCCTCCTCCTCCTCCATCCTGCCCCTCTTCGGGTATGGCGGCTTCCCCAGCCCTGTATCCCACTGTATGCTCCTCCACATCCCTGATCAGGGCAACTCGCCTGATCATCGTTTCTGAATGGGCTGGCGGGATTGCTTTTTTGGTCGCGGCCACCAGCGAGCGCGCAGGCGGCGAGAGAAGTTGTCCGGGCCAACGGGCAAACCTAATTAGCAGCTAACCGCGATTCAAACAGGCAGGGCCAGCTCACAAGGCGGCAGCTGGGGCAGCAGGGCGGGGGCTGGCTGGCTGATCTGGCACCCAGGGAAGCTCGAGCATCGTGCAGCCCAGAGCAAAATGGCGGGTGGGATTGCGCGAAGCATCTAAAAGTTTAGGGCACATCCAGCGGTGGCGACGAGGAGGCCCAGGAAAGGCTACAACAACGTTCAAAAACCTCCAAACTCCTCCCTCGAAAGGCCCTCCTCCACCGAGGGCCCTGACTCTGGATCTTCGCAAGTAGGGCGGAAACTTACCCCGTACTTTCCAAACTCCTTTGGTATGTATTTCCACCCTACTTTGCCGTCGCTGTTTCCGCGATACTTTTGCGGAAATATCCGCCCACCTTTCTGAAGCGGAGCTTTCGCCTTATTTGTTTCGCCTTGTTTGGGGTGCGTTTCCGATACATGTTTTAAATCAGAGATTTCGCTATTCTGTCCATGTATCGCTTGCACGTGCATCGCGCGTATGGGATGGATACCCTGAGGGGCAGCGGACTTCACCATATGCTGTTCCTGGTTGTCTTCGGAGGGAATAACAATGTTTCAATACGAAGTCGACAAACATGTCTCCTCCTCCTCCTCCTCCGCCTCCTCCCCCTCCTCCCTCCGCCGCCCACCCCATGTCCCGAGCCTGTGGCAGAGTCATCAGCTCGTCGTTGTCGTTGTGGTCGTGGTTGTCGTCGTAGTCGTCGTCGTCCTTCTGGATCGGTGGCGCCGGCCGTATGGCCTTCACAATCGGGAAGACTAGCGGTGAGCTCGGGGGGCAAGTGAGAAAGAGCGGGCCTTCTCAGAAGGCTGGGAAGTCCCCCGGCCTTCTGAGAAGAATTGCGAGCCTTCCCCGAAGACACCGAAACTTCTCAGAAGGCGCGAGGGGGCCTCTGAGAAGCCCCGCCGCTTGTCAAGGCCTTCTCCTTCTCACTTCCCCCCCTCGCTCACCGCCGAGAAGAACAATTCCGAAATGGGAAAGTCAATCAAAATTTCGGTCCGACCTAAGACATAATAAGAACATGAGGGCCTCAGCCGGACCGAGGGTGCCCTGCCCCAGAACGCACAATGACATCCAGCAAGCACGGCAAACATTCAGATACCCTCCCCAAACCGACCTGTCGGGGATCTACGGACCCGGGTCAATGCAAAGCTGGGTCAGTCAGGCCTTGCAAGATCCCGAGTAATCCTGCAGGATCCTGCGCCGGAGCCCGGGTCAGTGCACCCCTGGCCCTGCAGGATTCTGCAAAATCTGGCGTTCTGACTGAGCCCTGTTTGCATTGAACCCCGCCTCTTGAGCCTGTTGGCGACCCAAACCCCAGGGACGCAAAAATACCCTAACCCAGGGAGAGGCCAAGGAAAACAGCAAAGGACGGTCCGCAGAGGAAAGGACACAAGGGCACCCTAGATGAAGGCGCGCGTCCTTACTAGGCGCGTTGACTATAGGGTACCCTGCCTCCGACTGCAGCGTTCTGGAACGCTCTGAACGGATTTACCCTCGTCCTAACCCCGTCCGAAAGTGCCCTCCCCGATCTGATACCTCGGCCCAACCGCAGGAAGAGTCGACCAAAACTACGTGCGGCGGATCCGAAGTCTGGGGCAGGGCTGGGCGCGGTCCCGGAGAGCGGCGGGTTTACACTGGTCCTCCTCCTCCTCCTCCTCCTCCTCCTCCTCCTTCTGCTCCTGCTCCCCCCCCCCTTCGGCCACGCCGTGGAAAAATCCACCAAAATGAACGGCGGATCTCTGGAATCCTGGGCCGGAAGGCGAAGGGCGCGGCCCCCCGGAGAGCGGCCTCCTCGTCGAAGGCGGCTTCGCACAGGACGGGCGCACGGGCCAGGGGCCCGGCCTCTGCCGGCGCAAGGCACTCCGGGGAGGCGCGGCGTTTGGGCGGTCCCCGTCTGCCTACCCCAGAAAGGAGCAGGGAGGAGGCAGAGCAAGGAGGAGCAAGGAGGTAAAGGAGGAGGAGGAGGAGGACGAGGAGGAGGAGGAGGAGGAGGAGGAGGAGGAAGAGGATGAGGACGATGAGGAAGAGGAGGAGGAGGCAGAACAAGGAGGACGAGGAAAAGAGGAGGAGGAGGAGCAGGAGGAAGAGGAGGGAGGAGAAGGAGGAGAAGGAGGGAGGAGGAGGAGGAGCCGCGCCTGGGCCGCAAGCTGCAGAGCAGCAGAGCAGAGAGTACTCCTGCACGGCCTGTCTCGCTCTCTCGGAGGGGACGGGAGGGGCAGCAGCAAAAAAAACTATTCCTCCAGGCGGGAAGGCACGCCGGACAGCCCGTCGGAAGCGGGCCTGCTCCCGCCTCGCCTGGATCTGGCGACGGAGAGCTTCGGCGAGCTCTACACGGGCGGGGCGAGGAGGAGGAGGAGGAGGAGGAGGAGGAGGAGGAGGGGGAGCAGGGGGGGGAGGAGGAGGCGCAGGAGGAGGAGGAGGAGGAGGAGGGGGAGGAGGAGGAGGAAGAGGAGGAGGAGGAGGTTGAGGATGAGGAGGAGGACGACGAAGACGAGGAAGACGAAGACGATGAGGAGGAGGAGGAGGAGGAGGAAAGGTAAGAGGAGGGGGAGTGGGAAACCCAAGTGTCCCCGGCAACCTCACAAACCGTCAACATGCACTCTTCGGCCCACGGTTCAGCTCCTCGTGCCAAGGGTCGACCTCTTCAGGCCACGAGTCGTGTCAGGCCGACGGGATCTCCGCGGGACCCGTGGGAGGGGCAGGGGAACGGGCTCGAGGGCGATCTAATCGGGTATCCTTGGGCCCCTTCTGTCTGAAACCCGCAAAATCTAGGGTTATATCAGCCTTCTCCTCCACAGCGACGTCAGCATTGGGGTCAAGACACTGAACAAAAACGCAGTCAATTCTTCAGGAAAATCGCTGGGATCTATATACTCTTTGTCGCATATCCGACATACGCTTCCTCGACATATCGGGCAACTGCACGGGCCATGGCAGCACGTAGGTCCTGAGGGTACCTTTCTTGGGAGCAGTTATCCATTATCCTGTCGAGGGGTCAATACCGAGGAGGGTGGTATGGGTATTCCGAGGATGGGGACAACGTCCGAGCGCTCCTTGATCCTGGATTCCTTCGACAAGGGAATCTAACCGCATACACAAACAGGTGGTCGGACCCTTGCTGACCTGTCCAAACACAAATTGGTCGAATGAGGCCGTCCTGGAAGGCGAGGCTGCACTCAGGGCACAGGACGTGGCAAACTGCCACGAGGTTGATGCTCTCTTCCCAGTGGGCCACTTTTGGATGTTCCTTCACAGCACAGTCTCCAACCTCGAGGCAGGTCACCATCAACTAGTGCTGGCTGAGCAGGAGCTGAAAGCCGATGGATAACTGCGAACGTTGGCGAATACTCACATCGGGACGGCCCCAACGATGCTTGAGAGTCCGAAGAGGTGCAAGAGGCCGATACCGATCAGCAACTCTCAGCTCCTGCCACCTCGCCGCTGACCACGTCTCACACGCAGGGCCTCTAATGAGGCCAATAGCACGGCCTGCTTTCAAGAGCCGGTCCCACTTGCAAGCAATGTCAGCGCGAATCAACTCGCCATTTACAGGGTCACAAACCACATCGCACGACATAACGTATAGCAATAATGGTAACCGGCCCCGTCATCAGAACACGTTCCAGCTCATCCTGCACATCACCTGATCGCCTTACTCTTGAGAACATATTCAAAACGCAAGCGCTGCATACTGAAGGGGCCGCGGGCAACGGTCAGCAGCAGAACCTGAGGAGGAGGAGGAGGAGAAGGAGAAGGAGGAGGAGGAGGAGGATGAGGAAGGAGGGAGGATGCAGGGGGGGGAAAGGAATAGCAAAAAGGACGAATGAGGATGAGGAGGGAGGGGGGGGGAGGAGGAGGAGGAGGAGGAACGCAATGGAATGCTATGAAAGAGGACAAATGTTCGAAAGGCTCCACAAGGTGGCGCAGGTGCCACTTCCGCCACCTGGGAGCCATCGCATACGACTCGCGACCGACCAGAGATGTTAGTCGGAGTCTCCTGAAGACAAAACTTCCCCCCCAGCCTCCTCCCCAACAGCAGCTCGCGGGTTGGAACAGGAGGGCCGAGCACCATGCCGATGCGCTCGTCGTTCTACCTGCTGCCCTGGCTCGCCCCCTGGGCACTGCCACGGGTTCGAGCCAGCTGGGAGGGCGGCAAAGGAGGGGGAGAGGGGGCCCTCGGCGCCTCCGCGGGTGGGCCACTCGACGACGCGCTTCTCTCTCGATCGCGTGCCGCCATAGCCTCCACGACGGCCTGCGGGGGCCCCTCTACTAGGATGAAGCCCCTTCGGAATTCTACTGAGGTTATCGGCCTCTTTGGGGGTCATACCTTCACATCGCAACT